GGAATCACCTGGACATCTTCAAAAACGTACTGATGGCAACTCTCACTTCACCCCTCCCACGCTCTGAATTAATTGGTATAGGGGGTGACCCAGACATCAGAATTTTAAAAAACACCTCAGATTATTCTAATGGGCGATTTAAAAATCACTGTGCAAAAACCAGTATGAATGAGCTAAAGAGAACAAGTCTTTACGCCATCCTGGAGCTGTAGATAAACCCACCAGCTGACTCCAGGCCCCATGCCCGTGGGCATCCAAGGGAGATGAGGTGGGACAGCAGCAAGAGACTCAAGGAAGAACTTTCTTAAACTTCTCCATTCCTCTGTTTCTCCGTCTGTAAAATGGGGCTATAATTCTGCTCACCTCACGGAGGTTGCTGGGGGAATGAAGTGGAATAAAACACGTTGTAAGTTGAGATAATCAGCACCAGCTAGCTAAGGGATGTTGAGAAAGGTGGGTCCCTGGGACCTCTCCTCAGCATTCCCCTCACCTGCACTCCTGAGGAGAGTCTGAAGCTGGGGCATGGACAAAATGGCCCCTGGTGAATGAACCCGGAATCTCTTGACCCTGAGGAGATCCTTTGGGGTGTGTGTCCTGTGTTTCAAACATTGTCCTCCAAAATGTGCTCACATTAGTTTGATCACATTAGTTTTGTTTTTTTGTTTGTTTGTTGTTTGTTTTTGTTTTGTTTTGTTTTGTTTTGAGACGGAGTCTCGCTTTGTTGCCCAGGCTAGAGTGAGTGCCGTGGCATCAGCCTAGCTCACAGCAACCTCGAACTCCTGGGCTCAAGCAATCCTGCTGCCTCAGCCTTCCGAGTAGCTGGGACTACAGGGATGTGCCACCACCATGCCCGGCTAATTTTTTCTATATATATTAGTTGGCCAATTAATTTCTTTCTATTAATAGTAGAAACGGGGTCTCTCTCTTGCTCAGGCTGGTTTCGAACTCCTGACCTTGAGCAATCCGCCCGCCTCATCCTCCCAGAGTGCTAGGATTACAGGCGTGAGCCACCGCGCCCAGCCACGTTTTGTTTTTGATTTCAGAAAATACTGTCCACATAGTAACCTGTAGGGTGGGTGGGGGATGGGGAGACGGGGTTCTGACCTTCCGGCTCTTTGCAAAGAGTGGGTGGGATGTTTTATGGAAGGGTTGTCAGCTCAGGGTTGGAGGCAGCTTCTGTCCAGGTTTCCAGAATCTTGGTCCTCCAGGGAAAGTGAAGTTTTTTTTCTTGTGGCCTGTGTGTCTTTAAGACACAGAGAAGGATGGGGGGACCTGACTGGGGAAAATTCCAACCAGTGGGTTCCTTTGAAATGGAAGTGACATCTAGTGGTCTGAAAAAGAACTGTCACGTTGACCCCCCAGCCCTAGGCTGCCCTTGGGGTCCCTTCTGTGGCCCCAGGTTCCTCTCCTGCTGGGCCACAGCTCTGCTTCAGGGCATCCAAAGCCCAACAATGGGCTCTTCGTGGCAGGGTGACTTCCACGCCAGGCTGGAACCCAGGCCCGGGCACCTGCACCCAGGTCCAGACATGCAGAGAGGCCAGGCCTGGGCAGCCAGGAAAGGCCCCCATACTGTGTCCCCTCCCCAGTGTGCCAGGGCTGCAGCGTAGCGTCCCAGGGTGAGGTGGGACCCTCGGGCCTCCAGTCCCCTGAGGAGCCTTGTCCTGAGTCCAGCCTCACAGAAGTTGGAGTGCTGTGCAGGCCACAGTGCTGAATCATCAGAAACCTGCGGCCAGGTTGCTGTTATGCAATGACCCTGCCACGGGCTGCTGATGTCAGCGGCAGGCCTTCAGCCTCCCTTCCAAGCAAGCAAAGGGCCTCAGACTCGGGGGGTGTGGGAAATGGGGGCCTGCACAGGGCCTTGGCCTTTGAATCAAAACAGAGGGTGGGAGGAGACTGCCATGCCCAACCTATTGCTCTGCAAGGCTCCTGATTGAGGAGCCCAGTCTGAGGGGAGACAAGGCCCTGTCTTCGGGGAGCCCCAGTCTGAGGAGAGACATGGTCCTGTCCTTAGGGAACCCCAGTCTGAGGGGAGACAGGCCCTGTCCTCGGGGAGCCCCAGTCTGAGGGGAGACATGGTCCTGTCCTCAGGGAACCCCAGTCTGAGGGGAGACATGGCCCTGTCCTCGGGGAGCCCAGTCTGAGGGGAGACAAGGCCCTGTCCTTGGGGAGCCCCAGTCTGAGGGGAGACATGGTCCTGTCCTCGGGGAGCTCAGTCTGAGGAGAGACATGGTCCTGTCCTCGGGGAGCCCCAGTCTGAGGGGAAACATGGTCCTGTCCTCAGGGAACCCCAGTCTGAGGGGAGACATGGCCCTGTCCTCGGGGAGCCCAGTCTGAGGGGAGACAAGGCCCTGTCCTCGGGGAGCCCAGTCTGAGGGGAGACACGGCCCTGTCCTCGGGGAGCCCCAGTCTGAGGAGAGACATGGTCCTGTCCTCAGGGAACCCCAGTCTGAGGGGAGACACGGCCCTGTCCTCAGGGAGCCCCAGTCTGAGGGGAGACATGGTCCTGTCCTCAGGGAACCCCAGTCTGAAGGGAGACACGGCCCTGTCCTCAGGGAGCCCCAGTCTGAGGAGAGACATGGTCCTGTCCTCAGGCACCAAGCTCAGTGGCACCAGGGCCTGAGCAGGTACTAAGAGGGACTAGGCAGGACTGGGAGGGCGTGGTGGCATTGTCTGGACACTGGCACACCTCTCTTTCCTCTCTACCTGCTGTGATCCTGACCCTCAGCAGAGTGGAGGGAATCTTCTCGGGAGGTAGGAGCCCTGTGGCCAGTCAGCTCTGTCCCTGCCCTACCCTAACCCTGAGCCAGGCACAGCTGCTTCTGGCCTTACTCTATGGTTCTGGAAGCTTCCTTAGGCCTCTTCTCTCAGACCCTTGGCTCAGGCACATCCTTCTGGGTGAAGAAGCATCTGTTCCAGAGGATATGAGCGTTTCAAGATAGACTTCAAGAAAAAGGTATGCAGTCTCTTGCTTCTGAGAGATTTGAACAGCTAGCATCTTAAAATCTCTAGACAGGCATCCTCAAACTACAGCCCACGGGCCACATACGCGCCGCCTAGCAAATTTATCTGGCCCTCTGGGTGTTTTTGCCGCCACTTCCTGTCCTGCTTAGCAGCCAACTTGTCCGGGCCCACAGTGGGCACTCTTTAATGGTCTGAGGGACAGTGAACTGGCCCCTGGTTTAAAAAGTTTGAGGAGCCCTGCTCTAAAATTTCTGAGGTAGAAAATACTTATTTCACTCTGTCTTGTTAATTTTTTATTTTAAAGAGGTACTATATTGAACATAGTAAAAAAAATGCGAGCACAATAAAAATTAGTGAATGTAGGTGAAAGTTATTGGTAGTTCTATCTTATTCTTGTGACTTTTCTGTAAGTTTGAAATTACATCGAAATAAAACAAAAGGTTTTTAAAAAAAAATTCAGACAGAAATATAAGTCTCTCTTCTGTCCTTTCCTCCAGCTACTTACTCAGTTCCTTTCTTGGAGGCCCCTGAGTTGCCAGTTTCCTGTGTATCCTTCTAAAGATAGTCTAAAATATATATATTTATAAACTTTTTTCTCCCACACAAATGGTGACTTTTCTCCACACTGTTCCGTACCTTTCCTCTTCCACTTTACAGCAATCTGGAGACCATCCGATGGGAGTCCACTCAGAGCTGCCTCATTCTTTCTTGTGCCTCCAGTGTGTTCCATGGAACAGATGGTTCAAATGTTTATTTGGAAGATATTGTATAATGGGGTGATTAAGAGCATACACTTTGGAGGCAGAATGCTAGAGTTTAGATCCTTGCTCTGCTTCGAACCAGTTGTTTAATGTTGAGCCAGTTTCTTAATGTGTTAGTGACTCAGTTTCCTCATTTGTGGACCAGAGATAATAGCATCTACCTCAAAGCATTTTGTGAGTATTCAATGAGATAACACTTGTAAAGGGCTTACAACAGTGCCTGGTGTGCAGTAAGCACTAAATAAATGTTAGCTACTGCTCCCAAGATTATTTTGCCAGACCTCTTTTTGAGAGATTTGGGCTGTTTCCAGGCTTTTTATTATTATAAACAGTTCTGCAAACAAATATCCTTGTCCACACGTCATTTGGTACGTGTGGGAGTGTATCAGTAGGAAAAATTCCAGGGAGTAGAATTGCTGGGTCAAAGGCCATGTGCATTTTTAATTTTGAGAGATACTGTCACCCACTCCATAGGGGTGGTCCCAGCCCCACCGCCACTAGCTGTGTTTGAGCCCATTTCCTCATAGCCTCGTCATCACACCCTGTGTTTTTCTTGAACATAGCTGTTCTCATATTTATCTGGGCATAGAATCCCGTAATAGAGTTTCTTGGTTGATCACTTGGCATTCGAGCTCCTCTCCCTCATTCTACCCGAGTATGGCAGGGTGTTCGCTGGGCGAAGCCAGCCCACTATGTGGGCTATCGTGGTCTGCAGCTGGCAAAAGTCTCCTGAAAGTTGGCTCTGCGAATGTCCACTGCACATTCATTCATTCTACAAATGTTTGTTCAATATTATGGAGCTCCCAACAAGTTTTGTTTCTTTTTTGAGACACAGTCTCGCTCTGTCGCCCAGTGTAGAGTGCAGTGGCGTCATCATATCTCACTGCAACCTCAAACTCCTGAGCTTGAGCAATCCTCCCGTCTAAGCCTCCTGAGTAGCTGGGACTATAGGTGCGCACCACCACGCCCAGCTAAGTTTTCTCTTTTCCGTAGAGATGGGGGGGTCTCATTCTTGCTTAGGATGTTCATGAATGCCTGACCTCAAGCAATCCTCCCTCCTTGGCCTCCCAGAGCGCTAGGATTATGAGCCAGGATGCCTGGCCTCAAACAACAAGTTTATACATAGTTGGTGGCTGTCTTTTCTGGGGCCTGTTGACACATCAAAACTGTTGGTTAAACCTGATAATACTTTAGGTTGCATGCTTTTTGTCACCATTTCATTCCTGAGCCAGAGGCTTGCAATTTCTAATCACATTTCTAACATTTTCTCACCCCTAGGAAGGCGTACAGACAGTGCCAGTACTCAATGGTTTGTTATCACGGAAAGGCTGACTGTTTTACCTGGAATTTGACTGCCTGCTATGGCTAACCTATAAACCAGCCTCCCTCTCTTCCTTTCGTGGAAAATTTGTGTTGATTATAAAGGAGAAAAAAGATAGACTCTGCGCTGAGAAGCCCTGTCATCTGAAAATGGAAACCTCACCAACACAAAATATATCAGAAGAGTGAGTATTCCTTTTACAAAAGGAGTTCCTGCTGAGTTCATTTTAGTAGAATTTTTTAGAGCCCTTTTAGACAACTATAACAACGCAGGGGATTGTTTGGAGGCGGCAGCTTTGAGCAGGAGAGCAGGCCCGATATGTCTCTCACCAGCTCTTAACCGCGACTTGCTCACCCCGATCTCGTGCAGGCCCGGGCTGGAATGCTCCTTTATGATTCACCCTGATTTAGGGTGGCATGCCAAACTTTCTAGGACTTTTGCGGGTTCCCTGGGCTAGCTTGCCATCCAATCCTCCAATGCCTTTTCCCTGTCCTGTGACCTTGTAGATCTGACAAATGCCAAGGACTTTGCCTGCGCTAGATCTGGTCCGGAGACTGTCCCAGGCTGCTCGGAGTGGCGGAAGCAAAATTTGCCACATCTCCAGAAGCCCCTCGGAGGTCAGGTTTAAGGTGAGGGTGTCCTTGAGTAAAGGTCAGATAGGTTTCTTTTTTTCTCAATTGTTTAGTAAACTTTTTTTTTCCCTAATTAAAAAATAAATGCAGAAAAGTGCACAAATGATAAGTACATGGCTCAGTGATATTTTACATGCAACTAACTCATCATCCAGATCAAGAAATAGAGCATTGCTGGCTTCCCACGCTCGCCTGGTGTCCCCTCCCAGTTGTCACTCCCACCAAAGGCAGGCACTCTTCTGCCCTCCACTCCTGACAGTCAGTATTGCCCGACTTTGGAATATTATGTAAATGGAATCACACAGCACGAATGTGATTGTGTCTGGTTTCTTTTGCTTAACATTTTGAAATTCACCCATATGAATTTCACCTGTGTGTGTGTGTGTGTGTGTGTGTGTGTGTGTGGTTAATTTATTCTCATTGTTGTATAGCATCCCATAGTATGAACATGCAATTTTTAATCCATTCTACTAATAATCGTTGGGTTGTTCCCAGTTCAGGGCTATGGTGGATAAGGCTGCTGTAACATTCTTATCTTTGCCTTGCGGTGTGCGAGTGTACACATTTCTATTAAATAACCAGGAGTGGAATTGCTGTGTCATGGGGTAGATACTGCCAGCTTCCAAAGCGGTTGTATCAAGCTATGCTCCTAGCTGTCGTGTGTGAGAGTCCCCGTTTCTTCACGTCTTCACCAACACCACCATTGTCAGTGTTTTCATTTCAACATTTTGGTGGCCAAAATTACCTTTCTAAACCATAAATCCTTTGATTACTTTCCTGCTTCCAGCTTCCTAAAATTTCCCTAATATTCTATCATGAACGCATTCAAACATACAGAAAAGTTGAAAAAAATTATACGGTGATCAGCCATGTCGACATTAATCATATAAGCTAATTGCGTGATCAACATTTTTTTTTTTTTTTTGAGACAGAGTCTCACTCTGTTCCGTGGGCTAGAGTGCTGTGGTGTCAGCCTAGCTCACAGCAACCTTAAACTTCTGGGCTCAAGCAATCCTCCTGCCTCAGCCTCCTGAGTAGCTGGGACTACAGGCATGTACCACTATGCCTGGATAATTTTTTCTATATATTTTTAGTAGTCCAATTAATTTCTTTCTATTTTTAGTAGAGATAGGGTCTCGCTCTGGCTCAGGCTGGTTTCGAACTTCTGACCTTGAGCAATCCTCCTGCCTTGGCCTCCCCCCCCCTTTTTTTTTTCTGTGAAAAACATTTATTCTGAGAATCTAAAATCTGGACCAATATAGGACTTTAGAAAAAGCTTACGGAGAATTTTGCTGTTTCTTCCACTAACACATTAACAATCTAATAATAAGGAGAAAAGAAAAAAACCTTGTAAAAATATTGCTTCAGTTGGTCTGTAGTTATGTGATTTAAAATATCCCTGTTCTGTTGAGGTATGAGCTGCAAACTTTGATAAAGTTAGAAAAATTAACAAACTATGCCAAAAAAAATACAAAACAAAACAAAAGACAACCAAAACCCTAAGTTATATCTTTCTTGGTTCATATATAGTAACTACAAAAAATTTTCATTTAGAAAAAGTATTCATTAAAAAAAAATTCCCTCTTGTATTTCTCAATTGTCAAGTTAAAAATCCTTGCTAGAATTACAGGCATGAGCCACTGCATCCGGCTGCATGATCAACATTTTATTATCATTTTATCACATGTCTAACTGTATGTCCATTCATCAACTATCTTCTCTTTTTTTAATTGTCATGCTTCTCCAAGGTGGTAAAGCTGATATGTCATAATATTCCCTCACTTTAAGTATACCCTAAACGATTTATGTAAATTTATACAGTTGTGCAACCAGCAGCACAATCTAGTTTTGGAACACTTGTTACCCCAAAACTTCTTGTGCTATTCAATCCCCACTTCGGCTCCCAGCCTCAGACAACTAGTAATCTATCTGCTTTTTTTTCTATGTTGTTTTACCTTTTCCAGAAATTTTATATAAATAGAATCATATGATGTATAGTCTCTTCTGTTTGGCCTCTTTCATTTAGCATGATGTAACAGTAGGTTGTCCTCTTTATTGATGACTAGTATTCCAACGGATGATATGCAATAATTTGTTTATCCATTTTCCTGTTAATTATTCCAATAGGGTTTTAATGACAGGCTCATGGTTTGGCATAAGGAAAGTTTGCCTATTTATGGAGTGGCTTATTGTATGGGAAGAAGAAAAGGAAAGAGAGAGAGAGAGACGGGGAGACAAAGAGAGGTAGAGACAGAAAGAGAGAAAGAAGATGATCTTATTGCCTCCACATTCTGTCTCCAAATCAGCGATGGGCTTTTTCCCCTTTGGGAAACTTCTTGACTGCTCTGCTCTCAACTGCCTTTCTTTCCCGACTCTGGCACGCCTAGCCAATTAAACTCCTCCTGTGTTCACAGTTCACTACCCTGGGTTCATATCTGTTTCATGGGTGGCTGTCTCATTAAATCCTATAATGTCTGGCACATGGGGTTTAGGGCTTGGGAACTAGCGGCCTTCAATATTCACTTCCACAACAGCTTGCCGGGCTCTCTGAGGGCAAGAATTATGGCTTCTGTGTCCCTTCCCTGTGGCTCCAAGTCCTGGCACAGCACCAGGCACATGTGGAGGGGGCAGGGAGAACAGTGGACAGGGCAGGGGGTCAGGCCCTTATACAGTTAAGGCCTGAGTACCCCAAACTCAGGCCCTCTGGTTAGGTCCCTATTAGGGAAATGGTCCTGGGCTGGGTCTAGGGGGTCACCAGCCCTTGGTGCCAACCCACAGTGAGGCATGCCAGCATCACTAACAAGTTCAGCATGGGCCTGGGGAATGAGGAGGCTCCTGCCAGCAGGGGCCAGGGCGGCCGTGGGAGGCTGCTGGGACACCCTGCTGGCGGGGAGGCCTGAGCAGCAGCTAGGCACGGCGCCCCCTCCCCGCCTCCTTCTCGGCCCCATAACTGCCAAGATTCCCAGAGTTTCTCCGGACTCCTCTCCACGTGCTTCCAGGAGTGCCGAGGTGGGGCGCCCAGGCCCGTGCCGGCAGTGCCCTCCCTCCTTTTCCACACTGCAGTGACTTCCTCGGACCCGGATGGGCCTCAGTGCCCCAGTGCCCACGCATGCTATGGTCACAGGTTTCTGTTCTCGAAAGCAGCGGTTCTCAAACTCGAGCGGTGTACACTCAGGTGCAGAAGTCGGAGTTTTTGCTTCTGCAGATGTGGGTGGGGCCTGAGAATCTGCACTTCTGACACGTTCCCAGGTGACGCTCACACTGCTGGCGTGGGGACCCCTCTCTGAGAACCACTGGAAGCTTTGCTCTGTCCTCCCAGGGCTCAGCCTGAGTCTTCCCTGCTACCTGATGGGGGCGGGGCGGGGTGGGGGGCAGGGAGGGCGGCAGGGAGGGCAGGGGACATCTACTTCCTTCTCTGCACAAGCCCCGAGAAACACTGGGATTGTAGTGACCACGATGGTGACAATAGGAAGTACGCACTGGAGTTGCCTTTGGCCGAAGGGCACGGCAAGACTCACATAGGGAAGAGCAGGTACAATGTCCCGTCTCCAGCACATCGTAGGAATAAAAACAGATCAAAGCGGGAGAGGGTGTCCGAGTAGTCCTGTGTCGCTTAATGAGGGGGATAGATTCTGAGAAATGCACTGTCAGGCTATTTTGTCATTGTGACAACATCATACAGTGCATTTACAGAAACCTAGATGGTGTAGCCTACTAAAAACCTAGGCTATATGGTGTAGCTTATTGCTCCTAGGCTATAAACCTGACAGCACGTTACAGTACTGAATACCATAGGCAAGTGTAACACTATGGTAAGTACCGAAACATATCAAAACAGAAAAGGACAGTAAAAATATGATGTAAATGATAAAAAATGGGCTGGGCATGGTAGCTCATGCCTGTAAACCCAGCACTTTGGAAGGCCGAGGTGGGAGGATCGCTTGAGGCCAGGAGTTCAAGACCAGCCTGGCAACACGGCGAGAACTGGTCTCTATAGAAAACTTAGCTGGGTGTGGTGGCACATACCTCTATTCCCAGGTACTCTCGAGGCTGAGGCAGGAGGATCACTTGAGCGCAGAAGTTTGAGGTTGCAGCAGTGAGCTATGAGGATGCCACTGCAGTGTAGCCCAGACAATAGAGTGAGACCCTGTCTCCAAAAAAAAAAAAGAAAGTACACTTGTACACTTATAGAGGTTACTGACTGTGAGTGGAGCTTGCAATTGGAAATTGCTCTGGGTGACTCAGTGATCTGTGAGTGGTGAGTGAATGTGAAGGCCCAGGACGTTACCGCACAACACCACTACAGACTTTCTAAGCACTGCACACTTAGGCTACACTACATTTATTTAAAAGAATTTCTTTCTTCAATAACACATTAACCTTAGCTTACTGCAACTTTTTTCCTTCATAAGCTTATAAGTTTTTTTCAACTTTTTGACTCTTTTGTAATAACACAGCTTAACATACAAACACATTTGTGAACAGTTGTACAAAAATATTTTCTTTTTTTTTTTAATCCTTGTTTTAAAAGCTTTTTTCTATTTTTAGATTTTTTTTTTTTAGTTTTTAAACTTTTTCGTTAAAAAACTAAGACACCAACACGCACATTAGGCCAGGCCTACACAGGGTCGGGATCACCGATATCACTGTCTGCCACCTCCACGTTTTATGTCCCTGGCAGGTCTTCAGGGGCAGTGACACATACGGGGCTGTCATCTCCTATGTGAACAGCGCCTTCTTCTGCAACACCTCCTAAAGGACCTGCCCGAGGCTGTGGTACAGTTAAAAAACAGGAATAGAAGGATCATATTCTAAAATAACAACAAAAGTACAGTAAATGCGTAAGCATTGTTTAGCATCATGAAACAGGTTAAACATCGTTAAGCCAAGTATTATTCACTGTACATCATTGTATGTGCTAGGGTTTTATAGGACTGGCAGCCCAGTCTGTTTACGCCGGCATCGTCACAAACAGGTGAGTAATGTGTGGCGCTATGATGTCACTAGGTGATAGGGACTTTTCCAGCTCCCTTACCATCTTGTTGTATGTGTGGTCTGTCATTGACTGAAACTGTGTTGACCGTACAAACAT